TAAGCTAATCAGATCATTGTTTACGAATTTCTCCAAACGTGCTACATGCAATTCATATTTTTGATGTACTGTCTAATGGAGTCTCAACAAATGAGTGAAAAAGGAAAATCAACTAATGTATTGGTAAGGTCTGTTTCCGCCATCGTTGTACCCCCACGCGTCCCCTTCCGCCAACGCGAGGAGAGTGAAGGGAAGGGAAAGGCACGGAGGGAGGGGGGGGACGGACGCAGCTGCCTTCCTACCATCACCCCCAGCCATCGGCAGTCTCTAGTCATACAGCGGAACGTGAGGGCGTACGCTCTCACTCGTATTCTCTTGACTCTCGTTTAGATTTACGAGAGGATCGTGTGGATTCGTGTCTTAATAGTATGGAATTGTACAGATGATTCAACCAGTGAACACATCAGGACAATAGCTAGAGCAGTGCCTGGAAGTGAATTTTATCAAAGAAAGAGAACTATCAGTGAAAGTGCATGCACAGCACGGCTGTTTGAGTGTCGTGTTAGAAGAAGGCTGAATGGTCGACACATTTTGTGGTCGTTAGTAACCACTGTGATGCCTGCCTTATGTATTGAAGAGTACGCTGTTGAACCCACTGTCACTTGTTATACAGCGGGCCCAATATTCAAGAAAATGAAGGTCCTCAAGAAATTCAAGAGACGCATGGGTCTCGGTATGTAAGCAAATTGCAATTCTTTGACTATTGGCGTCATTGTTTTGTATCTAGAGTCTAGTTTGGGAATGGCGGAGGTACCCGACACGGTTCTTGACATCCGGTAACCGTGACTTCCGGCCGCAAGCCCCCGAGGGTGAGGTAGGACGACACTCCACCTTGAGGCAAAACTGGGGATTGACTCGCTATGAATGATTAATAGAAACCGAATAAATTGTTAACACGAAAAGAGTCAGTATAATTTATTGTAAAATTTGTCACAGATAAGATTTAAACCTTGTTATTTGTTAAATTGTTAAAGTTCATGTATTAAGGAGTAGTGCATTGTTTAAAAGATTCCCGGTTAACATGAACTAAGAATTTCTAAGTTCGCTGTAATACTTCAGACTCAGTGAGTGGATGGGGGAAAAGATATTTTTGAGATATAGATATAACATAGTTGCATTCTGTGGTGTTTTGAACCAGGCGAGTTGAACATTTATCCTTGAAACTGAAAATGTTTGGTGATATTCCATATTATTATGCATGCATTTTCAACAGAACAAGCAACTTATGAGCAGAAATATTTGATGTGAATAATTAATTGAGTTCCTATGGGTGTTTGGAAGATCATGAAATAGCCTCATTTTTTATCAAAATAGAGCTTGGGCATAATAGAACAATAATATTACAAGCTTTATATCATTTCAGTATATACATGATAGAAATTTCTTAGCTTTTGCTTGTTATGGAGGTACAGCACAGCATCACTTGTTTGAAACTATTTCTTATAGATTACAGCAAGTTCATATGGTTTTGGGGGGAGAGTATTTGAAATTCTCATGCTATGGCCTCCAGTGCTTTTCACACTTACATGGCAAAGCATACCTTTACTAGATTTCAGTGAAAATTTAAAAAGTACTAAGGAACCATTCCAAGCACAGTTGCCAAAAAATCATTGTTTGCTGGTCATGGCAAAAGTGTGGAGGTCATACCATCCTATCTTGAACATTTGTATACACAAGATATACATAGAATTGTAGGTAAATTGCTATAAATCATCTTTATTGTGCAAAAAGGAACTCAGAATAGTAATTCCTTTTATATTGTTTGAAAAAGTATTATATTTTTTTTTGTTGAAAAGACCGCATATTGTAGGTGCCATAAATCATGAAGTAAGTAACTCAGAACAGTAATTCCTCATTATTGTTAGAGAGGACAATACTTTATTGGTGCAAAGGCAACCTACTGTAGTGCACTAGTTTAAGATTAACAATAAGGAGTGTTTTGAATTTTCTATGGCCCCTAATCTTATTATATCTTTACAGCTGGTCGTGGTTCATCATCTTCTAATCAGCCTCCCTTGACGTTCCACCCAGTATGTGGCGACAATGTCCGCATCAGCAATGACGGCAAAGTAGCCCGCCGTGCTGAAAGCTTCTGCAAAGGAATTGCCTTCTCGGCACGTCCCATCAAAGTTGGTGAACGGGTGTGCCTTCGTCTCCTAGAAGTATCCACAAACTGGTCTGGAGTTATTCGCTTTGGATTCACATCTCAGGATCCTGCTGGATTGCGAGATGCTCTACCAAAGTATGCATGTCCAGACCTCACCAATAAACCTGGCTATTGGGCCAAAGCTTTAAGTGAAAGATTTGCTGAACAGGGTAGCATCCTCTTCTATTATGTCGATTCAACTGGTGATGTGCATTTTGGCATAAATGGAGAGGAACGGGGTGTATTCTTTGGGGGTGTGGATACACGCTCTCAGCTTTGGGGGCTTTTTGATGTGTATGGCAACAGCACTGCAGTTGAATTTGTGGATCCTCTAGCACAACTCAATAACCGCGT